TGGAAAATTTAAGGAGTTATTATTATGTACGTTTAGATGATACAACCGGTAGGATACTTTTGCACGTTACTGTATCTTTACACAAGCGAAGCAATTTTTTCCAATCCTTAATATGCTTCGGCCGCTCAGCATCTAATCTTGAACATTCTCCAAATAGCAATTCCACACCATTGTCCTTATGTTCGCTTGCCCTCCTCTTAATCCCCACTCTCTACTACAATAATTTCCAACTCCTCATCTACATCTTCATCACATTCACGCTCATCTTCTCTATCCATCTCTTCCCCCCTTTTTAACACCTGTTCCATTTCCTCTTTCAACTCTTCATTTCGTTTATTTGCCATAACTGCATTGCGTAAGACAACCTCTATACCCTCTCTTTCATCCGTTTCCTCCTCACTTTCAACATCACAACAACAACAACATCAACGACAACAACAACAACAACAACAACAACAACACCATCAACAACAACAACAACAACAACAACAACAACAACAACAACAACAATGCGTACCATGCACAGTAGGTTCAAGACCTGGGAAATAACATTCACCACATACGCATTTCACTGTAATTGGTGAGCAGGATTGGAGGCCTACATGTCCATATATTCCGCCTTTGAATGTTTAAGTCTTAATATTAGTATTAATACATAATAATGTTACAAGTCGATTATAATAATGCACTAATACTTACAATCCCATAAGCAGGTCACCAACCACTTGGACAACCTCTTCATTACCACTATCTACGTACGTCGGATTGTTGATTCGAGGCATACTTCTTACATTGACATTACCTCGCAACCCTTTGCACGACGCCATAAATTCATCAATCATACCCTGAATTACTTCAGGGAGCTTCACGTCACGGATATGGTTCTTCGCCTCCACCAACAATTTCCGTATCTCCACTGGAAGTAGCGTGGCATGTTCATCACCCCTCATCGTGAGATCAAATATTCCACTAGCTAGTGGGTGATCATAGTCGACGTCTGATTCATTCAGTTGGTGAAATGCATTTATGACTGCTCTGTAGACTTTTTTGAGCAACCCTTTCGTTTGATTGCAGCCTCCTAGAAATTTCTCAGGTTAAAATCAAGTTGGATAAATATCACTCTGCGACAATTTACTTACACAGTATCGAATGATCCTAGCTTTATTTGCATAAAGCATACTCGGCGTTTGTCCTTATTCAAGACGTCTTTGTAAATCTTTTCGCAAATGTTCTACGGAATCAAGAAAATGGATGAGTTAATATAAATTGGTATGAGGTCTCAAATGATAATACAACATACTATTATATCCTGTTGTTTCGCAGCGCCCTATTCTTTTCAAAGTAATTCCAGAACTCTAACTCCTCGGTTATTATTTACTCCCAAGGTATGCTGGTCGTCGGCGCTCTGTAATTGCACCGAGGATGTAACCTACTCCCGGAGTTAACAACTTGTAAAATCGGGTCCAGCAAAAAACTTTCATTTCTTGCTTATTATTATGTGAATTCATGCATTATATAATCTAAAAGAGCAATAAGCGTGTAACAGCAAAAAAAAAAAGATTTGCAACGCTATCGAATCAAACAACGATCAAACAACGAACAACAAAAATACACTTTAAACATATAAATCTTTTCTCACTTTGCTCAAAATCAATATTATAATGGAGACATACGTAAATTATATCAGCCTTACCGAAGACGAGCGCGTCCGGCTCGCAAATCCGCCATTCACATTATCTATGAGCATTGAAGCTCTCATTCAACCACGCATTCTTGACGGAAGGGCATTAATTTACCGACGACACATTGCATCGTCGGTACCTAACCTGGGTTATAGAATGGTCACCCAGCGTGCCTTACAAAGCTGGCGTGCTGAACCCGCAGAGGTCATGGTGTTTTTTTTCTTGCTGAAGAGCTTAATGGTCTGATATCAGGATGCACTCGAAAGGAGAGGTGGAGCACAGTCTACAGCATATTGGGATTATTACTTATATTATTTGTCCTCATTCACTAAAGTCAACTTATTTTAATTTTGCAGAGAGGGATAGACGCACTCAACCTCAACTACATTCAACTTCTTTTTTCTGTCTTTCACTTCTTTTCCTTTCTTATTCTGTTCTTTTCCTTTTCTTTTTGTTATCATTAATATTAATAGATAAAAGATCGCACCAAACTTATTAGCGGGCAAATCTTTTGCGTTCGGCTTCATTCTTTCATTTTCGTGGTCGTCCGAAAAGTTATAGTAGAAGAGGTCTAGAATAAAAAATATACGTTAACGGTTTTCTTTTCTCACTTATAAAAAGACCCAGTGCGAGCAAAACATTTTATATTATCGTTCGTTGCTTTGCAAATAAAAGAAATTTATCTCTCAAACAATCCGACAACTCTCTCCTATATATCGTCTTGCTCTGCTAAAAAAAATATGTCGTAAGTTTTGAAAGGAATTAATATTTTTTATTTATTTATTTTGTTTGTTTGGCTAACTGATGCATGGGATATTATTTTTAGTCCTATATCTACCAAAGATACCACTATCACTATTCACTCTCATCCGATTAAGGAACTCTAAAAGAGTAAGTTACTTTTATTGTCGCTATTGGAAATCATGTTGAAATTGCAACGGTCTGGAAGTACGAAGGCGATTACTTAGTGTCAAATAAAGCAAACCAATATTCGTAGCTTAGAAATACATTGCTCAAAAGATATAAAAGCAGCGTAGGAGTCAGCTAGTTCAAATTATTATTATATTCCGATTCCTTTATTATCTTATCAATAAACGAGGATCGCATTTACTCTGATCATAAGCCAATTTACGTAATTCCCTGAATTATTCGATATAGACAATCACTAATCCCTATATCGGAAAAGGATAATCGATTCTTGTCCTTCGATTATCTGAGTAGCGAATTAATATAATTAATTGTTGAGTATAACGCGTTAATAATTAGGTGTATTTTTAAGCGGAAGACTGTCGAATAATCCATCGTTTACTAATTATCTCGAAAGCAATTAATTATCTAGGATTTAATGTCGCGATCCAACAAACGGAAGTGCCGTCGCGATCCAGCAAACGGAAGTGCCGTCAGCGTAAAAGCCTAAACGAAAGGTCACTAAAGTGTCAGTCTGGTTCAATTATTAGTAGGAGGCGCTTGAAGAAAGTTAAATCCTTACGAGTCACGTGTCATTCCGCTCTCCCGTTGACATCAGTCTATTGATGAAAAGGGTGAAGTTAGTATGTATGCTCCTAGGGGAACATGATGATACAAAAAATTAAACAAAAATGAATGGATGAAGGCAAATTAAGAATGGCAGTAGACCCTAATGAAACTAGGGAATGATCCAAGAATTGTAAAAGAGTTTGATTTGATAACATTACCATTGAAGAATGCTAGATGGATTTCTTGAAAGTTCTAATGAATTAGGCTCCACTTGCTCTGAATATATTTCAAACTGAAGCAAAAGGGGTTATCAACTTACTGGACAAAGGAGAGAATTTGAGAAGAAATTAGAAGATTTAGTAAAAAGCAAAGACCAAAGAATTAAGGAACTTGAAGAAGAAATAAAAGAGTTAGAAGAAGCATTAGAATTAAAGGAAAACATTTCTGAATGCCATTTAGAAGCTCTTGAAGTAGCTAGACAATGGAGGGTAAGGCAAAGCAAAGAAAAGATGGCAATTTAGAAAAAGCTTCAAGGAAATTAGAGACATTGTGGCATAATTATGCTGAATAAGAATATTCTCCACTTGAATGTCTCCATGCAAAAAACTATGGTTGTGGATCAGTGACAGTGCATTTAAAATTTCTTAGCATTCTTGATTATTCAACTTCTCTACTTCCACAGGAGACCCAACAATCTCTGTTGCTATCACAAAAAACATTCCTCTCCATCCATATCCAGCAGTTAAGAGCTCTGGAATGCAATTACCCTGTATGTCTTTCAAAGCATGATATGTTTCTACCTTATTGAGCAGTTATTCCTCATAGGGGTCCTTTGATATATCACAAAGCTTCATAGCCACCTCATTTCCATGCCAATCAGCCCTGAACACTTTCCCACTGCATCTAGTTCCAAGTAAGTCTATGGTTTTAAAGGCACTCATACTTATTGACATTTCTATCACCCTCTGCTGTCTGCTTTTACTTTTGCCTCTACTACTGCCTCTTTGTTTTCTCTTGGTATTAGGAGATCCAATGAGGGATCCTGAGATTCATTATCACTTGGAGAAGGCAGATCAGTAACTAAAGGATTGGCCCTTCTATGTAAATATATTGCAAACCCAGCTGCATGTATGGCAGGAGCTGGCACCTGCAACAAGATAATGACCCAAAGCACACCTCACATGTTGCCAAGAATTTCATTGTCAAGAATGGGACTCAGGCTATTGATTGGCCATTCAATAGCCCAGACCTTAATCCTATAGAAATTATATGGCAAATAATCAAAAACAATGTTGAAAAACAAATGCCAAAGGATATTAATGAATTGAAGTTTATGGTTGAAGAATGGGATGCAATTCTAGTTTTAAAACTCCAACATATGTTTCCCCCCCATGACATGTACCCTCCATCAGGCAGATTTTGATTTATACCCAGGTACTAATATACCATAAAACTTCAACATATGACTCTTCCCCATGAGATATGAGATACAGTTTCAGAGATCTATACCTGGGTACTAATTTGTAAAATAAATTTAAATTAGGAAATACCCCAGGTACATATGTTGGAGTTTTATGGTACATTATAAACTGTCTAAAACATCTGGAATTGTTTAAATATCTTGTGTCATTGTTGAGTTATGCAATTTAAATTTAACTTCTTTCAGATGTTATGTACCAAGCTCTGTCTTTTGCATGATGTTGACAAAGTGACAAAATGACTGTTATTTAATATTAAGTTGTGACAATTATGTGATCATATTGATTGCATAGTTACCAATTTCTTTTCGTTTTTAAAAAGACCTTATCATAAATAATAACAATAACAGATGGAAGAAATCAATAGAATAAACAAAATCAGTGAAGCATAAGGCGTAATGCACGCAAAAACGACTGACCGACGACTCACACAAACGCGTAATGGCGGGCCAGGCCATTCCAACCCCAAACGCAAGAAATTATATATAAGGTTATCCATATATGAAAAATAGTGAATGTAATAGTTTCACTGAATATAAAACATTATTCATTTCTTTGAAATAGGTTGTGATTGTGGTTGCTCGAAAATGATTCCAAGAGAGAATTATGCTCTTTCTAGATCCAAACAAAAAATATTTTTCATGGCCCAGCTGAAAGCAATGAATGGTGGAGAAATAACTGCCAGCTGACATCTTAAAAAGAAAACACATACTAACAAGATAATGTTTTATTATTGAGATCACAATATGCCACTTTGTCAGAAAATGTGTCTCAAAAATGGCATGTTTTAATGGCTGTTCTATATACCAATTTTTGGTAACAACAGTAGTGGTAAGGCTAAATTCTTTATCAGCAATTAACTTTTGTTATTAAGAAGGAATTTAGAGCATTTATTAATTTTAGATAACAAAAGACTAGTACATTTTTAAACATCTAATTATTTCAGTAAATTTTTCAAAGTACTTCCTCCTTTTTCTTTAACTGAGTATGAGGCTTTGATTTGCCCCCAGGTTTGATTCCAGCATTCTTTTGCTCTTGCTTAGTGGGATAGAAGGGATTTGAAAATTAGCTCCTAATTTTAAAACAAGACCAGGAAAGCTGACTGAGGAAATATTATTTATTCCTACATTTACTTTTGTTTTGGAGCTTTTGAGACCTTTTTTATTTAAATCTTTTCACTGAAATGTTTTTTTCCACTATTACTATTACTATTGCCCCCCCTTTTTTTGGTTGAGCTCCTACAGAGTGTTTGCCTAAAACCTAAGGTGAAAAAAAAAATCACGATAAACTTTGTTAAAGTAACCTTGTCAGACTCTTCTTATTCTGCAAGTGCAGTGTGAATAGTAAGTCTATTGATGAAGGTAACCAGCTCAGCATTCTGCTCAATTATATTCTGAGCAGTTGTCATGATGAACAGTAGTTTGACTTCCTTTAGATGTTGTTGCAGTTTTAGTTTGTCCTATTGTTTGTATTCAGCAAACCCCACAAACCATAGAAGATCTATTGAGTGTGAAATGCTCCTAAAAACGCTTTTGTTTGGAAGCTTATTGTTCAAGACAGATAGTACTTATAAAACTGCTTCAAGTTGTAATGCATAGCTTAAAGGCAGTTGCGTTTGCTTTAATGGTTTTTGCTAGCTGCATAACATAGATCTTACTACAGTTAACCACTAGAGCCAGTTTTAACATATATTCTAGGCATATGTAATGCTCGTATTTATGTTATACGAAACACTGAATATGAAATCGAAATCTATGTTCATGTATTAATCCGCGCGGTAATTTTTAAAATTCCGGTCTAAAGTCGCAGTTCGATATTGCGGACTAAAACGCTGATATTTCGAAG